CCAAAATAGAGTTTTTGACCATTCAAGTTGGATACTAATTTTGAGCTGTAACATAAATAGCTCTGAAAATCACTTAGAGAACAAAATAAAATGAGATGGCTCTATGGGTAGAGGTACATGTAGCAGTAGCCTGGCAGCTTGATCCACAGGGGCAGGAGGAAATGATCCCTTTCAGTTTTTCCTGAACTAACTCCTCTGATAAGAGAGCTGTGTGAGATGGTGACTTCCTCACCAGAATCAAGGTTTGCAGTTTAGAGCTGATTATTAACTGTCTATTGTGTCAAACATTGATCTAAGTGAGTCTCAGGTAAATGTGACCAGCCACACGGACAGCAGCTTAATGTGATGAGCTGACACACAGAATGTTCGGTCTAAATATCAAAGTTTATTGAAATAAAATATAATCTATAATAAAAAATACTACAATGTTATTCACTGGTTACAGTTTTAAGTATATTAACAAAAACATCCAGCGTTTTAACCCAATGATGACACTACACTTTGTATAACAACGAATTTGAGATTAAACAATAATACTGAATCATTGTCAGAACATTTTATACTTTCCCACCTGTGTTCAATGTCTTTTCAGGAGTAGTTTCCAAAAGTGAAACTTGAAATTTAAGACATAATTTTTAGAGGTGTTCTTAGCATAATTAGCATTTAAAACAATAAATTTATTTCACAGAAATCAGTTCAGCCCTGTGATGAGTAGGCGCATTTTAGGTGTCTCTTTTCAATGAACATATCCCAGTCTCTGTGCCTTTATTCTTCACTTGCATTTAAAGCAGAAGAGTGACTTGCTAGAAGTAGAAAAGATGCTGGGACAGACAGTTCCCACAGCCCATTTCAGCCAGCACATAGCTCCACAGGTCAGAATAAATTGGCCTCACACTCAAGTCGAGGGAGAAGACCTGTTTCTTTTCCTTACTGCTGTTCAAAATGACAGTTTCCGTTATCATTCTGTTTACCTTTTTGCTCTCCCAATTCCATGTTTCAACCTTCGTATGCAGCCCATATCAAGGGAAACGAATCACATGTGCTGGGAAATTATCCCTTCTGTCATTTACCTGGTCCTATGTGGATCTGTGACAATAGTTGCCATTTTATTGAGGAAAATAAGTCAACAAAAACTAGGGCAAAGCTTCACTAAAACACAAACCTGGGAAGTGAAGAGACACTGAATCCTTTCACAGTGGTTATCTCATACAAATAATGGGTGGGAAGGAACAGCAACACACATTCTGACAAACCAGACATCATTTTAAAGATTGAATACCAATCTCTTTTCTGAGTTACAGCTGCTTCATAGGAGATTCTGTTAGGATGTTGTGACTCGGGATTTATAACGGGCATTTCAGCTCCCCGACTTTCTGCATTCAGCTATAAAATGACTACTGAAGGCAAAGGCGCCAGGACTGCCTACAGGACTGCGACTGTCCATTCTCTAGTTACAGGGCCACCTTGCCTCTCCAAGTGCCACAGTGCAGAATTGAACATTTTTTTTTTTTTTTTTTTTTTTTTTTTTTTTTTTTTTTTTTTTTTGGTTTTTCGAGACAGGGTTTCTCTGTGGTTTTGGAGCCTGTCCTGGAACTAGCTCTTGTAGACCAGGCTGGTCTCGAACTCATTTAAAAGGTGACATCTTTACAATTCATGCTAGATAAAGTGGGCACTTTCTGGGATGGGGCTTTTGCTCTTTTAACTTCACCATGGGACAAAGGTTGGGTTTCCTATCTTTGCCATTGTATTTCAACTAGTTAATGGGAGGGTGTCATGCCCTAAAGATACCAGCTTATTAGACAAATCTAACCAACCTTTGTCAGGACAAAGGAACATTGAATTTGAGGCAAGAGTTGAAGATATTTACCCTGTTCGTTGAGTTTAGTTTTCTTGAGTTCAGAAGAAACTAGAATCCTACATATAAAAAAATATATGCATTTATCAATTTGTTAAGCTCTATTTCCTAATAGAAATACCAGGATTAAGTAAAGACATGCACGAATTAAATTTTAGATTTTCAAAGTAAGTTTTCCAGCACTCTGCAAGGTACCCCACTGTTTTATCTTCTCTGTATTTATTCCCTTCAGGGAGCTTTTAATTTTAAAAGTTATTCTCAACTGTTATCTGAGAAAAGTGAACTCAATTATTCATAACTTTTGTATCAGCAACAAAAGACACTAAATTATCAGAGAAACAGAACTCTCCGATTCAAGCGTTCCTTTATGATTTCTCACTGTCTAAAGGAGCTGACTTGCACACTACCAGAGTCCATTTTCACACCAAGCCACAAATAAGTAGTCTACACTGACACCAGCGGAGAGACCGGTCAGTTCCTGATGCTACTTTTCCCTGGAGGAAAAGACCAAGAGGCTCTAAGCACTTAATCTGTAAAAAATACCAGGAGAACAGGTCTGTAAAGGGCATTTTATATGCCAAATACCAGGAGAACAGGTCTGTAAAGGGCATTTTATATGCCCAATACCAGGAGAACAGGTCTGTAAAGGGCATTTTATATGCCCAATACCAGGAGAACAGGTCTGTAAAGGGCATTTTATTTTATATGCCCAACACCAGGAGAACAGGTCTGTAAAGGACATTTTATTTTATATGCCAAATACTCCTGCTCTTGATAGTAGTCTACCACATACAAAAGCAACGCAAAATATACTTTTGAAAGCCATAATGCCACATTTGAAATAATTCTACAAGCTAATGGCATTAAAAAAACTGATTTAAGTCATTATAAAGTCTGCACATTCAAGAACAGAGGCTGTGCAATGTCTGTGATGATCTCAGTAATTCTCAGTGCTCAGGAGAAGCAAGTATGGGGAGCGGCAGAACAGGCGCACCCTGCACACAGAGGAAACTGAGGCGCACAATGATTACCAAAACAAGACAAAGTCAGGTTTGTGTTTGGAGACGGGGTCTTACTACTTGCCCAGGCTCGCCTTGAACTCAGGATCCTCCTGCTTCACCTTCCTCAAAGGTTGGGTGACAGTGTGTATTACCATGTTCAGACAAAAGCTTCAAACATCAAATGATCCAGGATTTCACATGTCTAATCCCTTAAAATATGAATAATTACCTTTAATGTCTTTGCCTTATTTTGTCAAACATTAATTTTTCATTTTAAATTCTATGCCTATGACAGTGATATGTGCAAACCTATAAGCTTTCGTAAGAAAAATAGTAACTGGTACAATGGATAAGAAAGGTAAGCAAAATGCAATCCGTTTGCTGTTAGCTTTACAAAAGTTTAAACAAGCTGGCTATGATGGCATATGCCTGTAATCACGGCAGTGAGAAGCTGAGGCAGGAGGATTTTGGGTTTGAAGCTAGCCAGGGCTACAACAGTTGATTCCAGGCCAGCTGGCTACACAGCAAGACCAATGACAGTTCTTAAAATTCTTGCCTTGATTTGCTAGGATTTTTACAGACATCTGTTCACATGCCAACACAGACAGTGATCATGAGTCATCCCTTTTCCTCACAGCTGCCCTCTGGTCCTCAAGGTCTGCACTGAGTTTATGACTCACAGAAAACAAAATGCTGTGAAGCTGTTGTGTGAGAACAGAATGGCCAACACGAGTTTATTAAACTTATATCTGATATGAGGAGCATGAGGAAGAATTCAAAACAAACTGAAGAAAAGCGAGGCAATAGAAACAAGATCACCTAACCCAAACTTAAGCCTCTGTCTTGCTCAAACCCTAGCCTGACCTTAAAACATGGAGGAAGTTATTCTGCCCATGAACACTGGCTGGGCCTAAAGCCAACGCCATGATTAACTGCTTGACACCATACTTCTCAGTGTGTCTGTGCACATATGCATGTTCTGGGGACTGAACCCAGGGCCTTGAGCATGCCAGGTAAATGTTCTACATCTGGGTGACACTCCGAAACCTGGCGTGTTTGTGCATATTTTTATATTTATTTATTTATTTTGGTTTTTTGAGACAGGGTTTCTCTGCGGCTTTGGAGCCTGTCCTGGAACTAGCTCTGTAGACCAGGCTGGTCTCGAACTCACAGAGATCCGCCTGCCTCTGTCTCCCGAGTGCTGGGATTTGTGCATATTTGTAAAATGATGACTTTCATTTGATAGGAGGTTTTGCTTTGAGACCCAAACAGAGGTCATGGAAACCTACTTCAGAAACAGAACATGCTCCTTGGTATTGACAAACTAGTACAAGTCAGAGCAAGTTATACAACAGGGTTACCCATCAAGAAGTGCACACTAATAAAGACTGACCTACTAAACTTTAAGACTGCTTTGAAAGCAAGAGAAAAGCCAGGGACCCTATCTGCTCTTCCACCTGCCTCCTGCCAGTTCTCATGCTGAGTGGGCACATTGGTCAAATGTGCCTGAAATTTAGTCTAGAAACATTAAGCTCCAAAATGTTTAAATTCTAACGTCTGTTAGCAAGATATGTATAACAATTTCAAGTATTACAAAGTATTGGGAGGGGGAAAAATCCCTCAAAATACCATATTCAAAGTCCTTTGTGCCCAGATAAGCAACAATATGCCTGAATACCACTTGCTACCTTGAGCAAAACATAGGAAACAAGCATGCGACAGTTTCGATCCTTGACAGCCTTTGAGGACAGGAAAGCATCTCACAAATTTGTTTTAAGAGTCAAACATTTAATTTCTCCCACAGTAATCAAAACAAATATTATGACTCTTGTCATATCAAACAATTCCAGGAATGTAACCAAGCCCGACTTGGAAATCTGACATAAGATTGGATTAATAAACACAACTCATTGCTTGTCGTGAGTACACACTGACACCTACTTATCTGATAGCGATGCTGGTTTTGAGTGAGTTGTGTTTGCTTTGTTTCTCTTTTTCTTCTAGAGGGAATGCAGTATGGCAGTATTATCTTTGGAACAAATTAAGATAGTAAAAATAACAATTTCTATATAGAGATTTTAAGGGCAATAAATAGATATTGTATATAATAATGGAAAAATATGCCTCAAGTATGCTTTTTAAAATTACTCAAGGTTATTGTTTTCTAAATTAAAATATAGACGGTTCTGGGAAAAGCAAACCCTGAGGATTGAGCCTTCTCCTCGGAGTATCAGAGTGCTGCTGTCTGTGTGTTTCTGCCGAGTCAGCCCACCACAGGGCTCTTTGACAGTTTATACTCACTCTAGGTTGGAATCAAGAGACTTACCAAGTATTTATACACAAATTTTATAGCCCAGCAGGTTCTCTGATTGGTTCCCATGCTAGCATAGGAAATCTGAATAACAAAGAACATAAGTAGACATGTAATATAGAAGAGTATAAAGGATACAGCATAGCCCTGAATTTTTCCCCTTAGAATAATACTTTTCATAAATAAAACTCTACTTTTTACATACAGATCCATCCTACAGTTGGTTTGGGATCATGGAGAATGTTGATGACAATAGTCTTAAGAAACTCTAGACTACTTTTTTTTTTTTTTTTTTGTAGTCTTTCGTTGTCTCCAGACCACAAGAAATATTCTCTGACTGGACGTTCAATTTGTGATGGTCCTGAATAAACAAGTTTACTGAGGCTTAGGGCAAATCATACAGCTACCTGTACCGGCAATAATCTTTAAAAAAAAATGACTGAAACAAATTTTAAATACAAAGTATATAAAAAGGACTGTTAAGGATCGTTTTCAAACTTGATTTAGAAATTACAATATGTGCTGCCTCATCACAAAGCTGAGTAAATATTCTTTCAGAATCCTATAAATGATATAAGATGTCTTAGGTTTATTTGGTTCTCATAAGTTAAAAAATCTGACTGCTTTTACATAAATTCCTTCAGATTCCTGCTATGTTCAGAATTTTATTAATATCTTTTCATTAGAGTCAAGAGATTAACTTTCCTTCAGAAATGTGCTTTTTGTTGGTTTAAATAACTATGCTTAATTTTCTAGCAATAAACATGATTTAAAATTTAAGGTTCAAGGTAAATCTAGAAAAAGGTAGACAGTGAACTCTGCTCTTCTCTGCCATCCTATTTACAAGGCTAAAACATGAGTGTGGTCTCACTCACCACATCCTTAACAAACAGAAACCACCATTCAGGTTACCTAAAGGTGTTAAAATTCCTCAGAATCTCACAATACTACAAAGTCAGTATCTGATTTGAATAGGTTATATGTATTAGTGTCATATAATTTTTGTGGGTTTTTTTTTGCTATTGGAAAATAAAAAAATTTTCTATCTAAATTGGATCCAAGCTTCATTATCAGTTCTCAAGATAATATCTAAAATGTACATTGCTAAAGAAAGGTAAAGCTGTTCAAGGGCTGAGCCAGTTCAGTGTACAACGAAGGGTCATTTATTCCTGCTTTTTTTTCCTCTCCCTATATTAAACTCCTCATTTCTTATGGATTAGAACATAATTTAGCATAAATGTTTCAGAAATAACTGTGCTGATAATTACATCTTGAGAAGGATAGGACTCACTCAGGTGACCTCCATCCATTGTCGGACACACAGTAGCTTACAAACTGATTAGAGTTGTCATATCACTAAACATAAAATAGAAGTGATATACTTATTTGGCTACAAGTGACAACATACAACAGTTCCACTTTGTAACAAAACTCCAGCTCATAAAGAGTATATTGTGTAACTTAAAAAAAGTTGATTGTAACAAAGTAACAACCTTCCCCTGGAAAACAAGAACAAAATCCATTGAGAGATCAGGCACAGACGGTAGGTACTGGGTCTTCCTTTCCGTCATCTGCATAGGTGGTTCCCACAGATGCCAGCACTTCCTATAATATCACACAACTATTTTTTTCCTTTTCTTTCTCTTTTTCCCGAGGTTCTTTGCGTTTCCGTTCACTATTTCCAGGCTGTTTTACACTTGATGGAGAGGGTTGTGCTGGCTGGCCCTGCTGTAGGAGAAACACACACCGGAACAGAATCAGAGCTAGCTAGAACCACAAGGCAAAAGGTATCCTCACAGATACAGATGTTGCGGGGCACGATTTCTGTTTACAGGTGTTAAGGTTTGAATGGCAGATGCCCCGGTCCCTGTTGCTGGCCTGTTGCTGTGAGAAGTTTGGGGTATCTTAAGTAAGAGGGCCTGGCGGTCCACATAAGAGCGGATGTGAGGCAAGTGGCAGGGCATGTCTTCCTGTCTGCTTAGGTTGCTGCTTCCTGATGGAAAGGATGGGAGATGCTGTGCCACCAACTCCCACCTTCATCCACTGAACACTGTCCAACCATGCCTTCCTCATCCTGAGGAGCTGTACCCTTTCCTGCAGATCTCAACAAATCTCTAAGTTGCTTCTGTCAGGTGTAAGAGAAGTAATTAATATACTGAATAACTGACACAAATAATGTATAATTAGTTATGTACTCATTATTCAAAATCTGTAATTATCTAAACTATTTAAGCTTCTAGTTGAAGAAATATTTATGTAACTGGGCAGTGGTGGCACATGCCTTTAATCTCAGCATTCTGGAGGCAAAGGCAGGCAGATCTCTGTGAGTTCACAGTTGGCCTGGTCTAAAAGCAAGTTCTAGAACAGCCAGAGCTAAACAGTGAAACCCTGTCTCATCCCACCCCCTCAAAAGAGAAATATTTATGTTAAACTGACAATTTTGAAAACTGTAATATTTCTTCAAGACTTTATTGTGTACCATAACAAACAAATCTTAAAGCAAAAGACAAGAATCCTGATAACTGAGAGTGTAAAATAATAAGTGTGTACTATGAGATCAGAGAATTTGAATGAAATAAAATAATACGGTAGCACTCGCCTGCTAAGTTTGGATAGCTAGTGCTTTATTTAGAAGCAGAAGTTTTACATGTATTTTAATGAAAGAGAGGGAAAAAGAGAGAGAGAAGTGTGTGTGTGTGTGTGTGTGTGTAGTGATAATTTGTTTGTAATCTAACAAATAAAGCTTGCCTGAAGATCAGAGTACAGAGCTAAGCCACTAGTTAGCCATAGTGGTGGCTCACACCTTTAATCCCAGCATTAGGAGACAGAGGCAGACAAATCTCTGTGAGTTCAAGGTCACCCTGGGCTACACGAAATTGATTCAGTCTAAAAGAGAAACAACTGGTGGTGGCTCAAACCATTAATTCCAGTACTTGGGAGTCACATGCCTTTAACCCTATCACTCGGGAAGTAGAGACAGAAAGGGATATTGTAGCACAAATGATAAAAACCCAGAGACAGATATTGGGGTTCAACCTGGAGACAGACAGACAAAGCAGCTAGCCACTTTCTCTTATCTCCACCTCAGACTGAAAATGGGTGAGCTATGGTCTCCTCTAATACTGAAGACGCCACACTCCTTTATATTCCTCTCTGCCTAGCCATACCGCTCCTGTCTCCACCTCCCTAGCGCTGGGATTAAAGGTGTGGGATCCCAAATGCCGCGAGCTTCTTTGTGAGAGCTCTGTTTCCATTTTAGACAGAGCCAATCATCTGTTGCCCAGGTGGCCTTGAACTCAAGAGGTCCATCTGCTTCTGTGGTCCCACCCCCAAGATTAAACTCTAGTCCTGGGATTAAAGGTGTGTGCCACCACTCCCTGGCCTGTATGGTTGATTAATAGCAGTTAGAATTTAAGCCACACGTGTGTGTTTTGGAGGATATGAGTGTGAGGTCAGAGGTGTTCATCTGGTGTTCTCTGTCACTCTCAATCTTATTTCCTTGAGAGATGTTCTCTCACAGAATCTGGAGCTAAGTTGGTGGCCAGCAAGTTCTTGAGATCCTCCTATCTTATCAGAAGCTCTGAAAAAAATGTCTTCATGAAATCAGAAATATGTTTGGATGGTAAAAACCTTAGAACAATGTGAAACATCACACAGGGAGAGCTGGAGAGATGACTCAACATTGAAGACTTGTTCTTGCCGAGGACCTGGGTTTGATTCCCAGCACCCACATGGTGACTCACCACCGTCTATAACTCTAATCCCAGGGGATCCCATGCCTTCTTCTGACTTCCACAGGCACCAGGCACATACATGGTGCACATGTAAGAAAAACACTCATAACGCATAAAATAAATCTAAGCCAAGCAGTGGTGGCACATGCCTTTAATCCCAGCATTTGGGAGGCAGAAGCAGACAGATTTCTGTGAGTTCCAGGCTACACAGAAAAATCCTTTCTTGAAAAACAAAACATAAAATAAAATAAATAAATCTAAAAAAAGCCCCAGCAAAACAAACAAAAGAGCCTCAACCCCTTGGGTGCTGACCCGCTAACACAGTTGAAAGGCCAGAGCTGACTTACAACTGTTTCTGCCAAGCAGAAATTCTTTTACTGCTAAAGTGACTGTCATGTTTGAGATTCACAGAGCTACGGTTTTACCTGGACCTGTGTGGAAGTGGTGGTAGCAGCCACAGCCGCCTGTGCCTGCTCCTGCTCCTGGTAGTACTGAGAGGCCCGTCTGTCCTCCTCCTCTTGGAGTTTCTTCGCCAACTCCAGGTCACTGATTCCTTCTGGGATCTGCTCCCAGTTGATCTCTTGGCTCTGCTGTTCTTGCTGCAGTGACAGTGCCATAAGGTAGTCCTGAGGAGTTCAATCACAGCGCTTCAGCTTTGAGATGTGACCCAGGAACAGACACCCACTATGAGTCTGAGAATGACTTTTACAGCATAGGCCTTTAAAGCTCTATTTCTAAGGACTTTCTTCTTTGTAGAGCTACAGATTTCCTTCATTATTATCACGGTTCTACACAGTTTTAGCATTTAGTTTAAAATCTTTTCTAGAAGCAATAAATAAGTCATATAAGAAAGCTATTAAAAAAAGTTCCCATTTTCAAAAGAAACACGTGAGCAAGGAACATGCAGAAAAGGCAGAAAAGCAGACGTGAGAGCTGAAATCACTGTAACAGATGTAACTGTGGAATATTTATAGCCTCTAGTATGTTCCACATTCACATAGAAATTCAAACATATCTCCCACCCTCCAAAACTATTTTACGCTTTTTATTTTTTATTTAGCATTGTTTTTAAATAGTTTAAGAACTTCCTAAGATTCTTTGCTCAGTTCTCCCCTCTCCCCCAGACTCTTTTGCTCTGCTCTGACAAGGTCTTATGAAGTATCTCAGGCTGGTCTTTCAGATCTGTGTGCCTGGGCATCCCGAGGGTCGGGACTACAGCTAATACCATATTCAGCTCAAAGAATGATTCGGGTTTTTATTTTACATCATTTGGTTACTCATTTTTTTCCTGCATGTATGCCAGAGCTCCTGGAACTAGAGTTACAGACAGATGTGAGCCTCCATGTGGTTGCTGGGAATTAAACCTGGTCTTCTGGAAGAGTAGCCTGAATGAACTGAATCATCTCTCCAGTCCTTAGTTACTCATTTTTGAGGAAGATCCTTGCTATATAGACCTGGCTCACCTCAAAGTTGCCTGTGAGTGGAAGCCAGGACAACCGCAGTGTCATCCACGTTTTTTTCTCTCTTTCTGTGTGTGTGAGGGGAGGGAGTAGTACAAGTATGTGCATGTGTGCACACCTTTGGTGGTCAGAGCAGGACACTGGTTATCTTTCTGCATTGAAACAGTCTGTGTTACTCCCTGTATTAACTGTCTTGAGACAGGGTGTCTTAGTGAATTAGAAGTTCATCTTTTGGACTAAGCCAAGCCAGATAGTCAGCTCTCAGGAGACACGTGTTTCCATCCCTAATGCTGGGGTTACAGGGATACGTTGCCATACTCAACTTTTTACATGGATGTTGGGAATTTGAACTCAGGTTTTCATGCTGGCCGGTGAGTCCCAGGGATCATTTTGTCTCTGCCTCCCAGCACTGAGATTACAAGTGTATGTGACCATTTCCAGCTTTCTACATGGGTGCTGGGGATTGAACTCAGGTCCTATGAGTGGGCAGCAGGTACTTTATAAACTGAGCTATTTTCCTAGCCCCAAAAGAGGATTTTTAAAGCCAAAGTAGCTATTGTCGAATTCAATTACTGGGTAGTTATATCTTCTAGCTACATACCGAGATTGTCTCCTAGGAGAAGAAGTTAATTTTGGTCAAACTTATACCCGATACATTATTTTTTACATTTATTTACTTACTTATTATCTCTCACTGGGTGGTGGTAGTGCACACCTTTAGTCCTAGCACTTGGAGGCAGAGACAGGTGACTCTCTGAGTTCGAGGCCAGCCTGGTCTACAGATCGAGGACAGCCAGGACAACGAGGAGAAGAGAGAGAGAGAGAGAGAGAGAGAGAGAGAGAGAGAGAGAGAGCCCCTCACTGTGTGTGTCTGTGTTTCAGCTCCTCCTGCCAAGCCTGATGACTGGAGTTCAGTTCCTAGTACCCATGGTTGGTAGGAAAGGACAGATCTGCACACTGTCCTTTGACTTCCAGGTACACTGTGATATACATATTCACTCACAAACAAACTAAGTAAAGAAATACAATAAAATGGTTCATGCGGTTTCCACATTTAATCCTCAACATAATTGATCTAGTGTAATTAGAGTGAAATTCAAAGTCCTCACTATGACCCGTCAACACAATCCACCTTCTGAATCATAGTGTATAATTGATGTTCACAGAGAATTTATAGAATGATCACTTTCCTATTTAGGAGATGTGAGGAGAACTCACAGGTAAATTAATGGATGAATAGTCTGGCAATGGTGGCACATGCCTTTAATCCTATCACTCAGAGGCAGAGGCAGGTGGACCTCTGTGAGTTTGAGGCCATAGTGTTCTTTATAGTGAGTTCCAGGACAGCCAGGAACCCTGGCTTGAAAAACAAACAAATAAATAAAATTAATGCATGAATCAAAAGTTTTAGATAAACAAACTGACACTTGAAAAGAATTTGCTTTTCCTTGTTGACACCAGATCTTGCTATGTTGCCCAGGCTGGTTCCAACTTGTGAGCTCAGTGACATCCCCCAGTCTCCCAAGCAGATGTGCACATCACCTTGCCTCAGTGAAGAATATGCACTTTAGTGAGGTATGGTGGCACAAGTCTTTAGTCTCAGCATTTGGGAAGCAGAGGCAGGCAGATCTCTGAGTTCTGGTCTACAAAGGGAGCTCCAGACAAGTCAGGGTATAGTGAGACCATATCTCAAAAAGGGGGGGGGGGAGGGAAGAAGAGAAAGAATATGCACTTTAGACAATGCGATGGGTGGTGGGGAAAAACAATTTTACCTGATCGATTTGGTCTTGTTGACCTTTGTACACAGTCTCAGGATCTGAAGGAGGTCGAAGATGGAATTCTGAGTCACAAAAATTCCCATCACCATCTACATTGTGCAGGCTTTCCCAGACAACTTTTTCTTCAGTAAGAAACCCCTGGTCTGTTACCAACAAATACAGTTGACCCTTAATCAGAAACAACAAATGAAAATTTGTTAAATTTTCCTAAACTAGCCAACATTATATTAAGGAATATGTTTAAAGTCATATGTCTGAAGTACAGTAATTATTCTACCTGGATCTGTGCAATCCAATAAAGAGCCCAAGCAGATAGCTTCTCTGCTCAAATTCATCTGGTTTTGCCTGGAGCTGGTAGTCAACACATCACAATGGAACAGGAGGAACCTTCTGGCATGCTAACTGACAAACAGCTCTGGGGCTTACAATCTCATTTCACAAAATAGAGAGATACAACCAGAAAGCATATGCAAAAAAATTCTACATTGTCTGGTTTTATTTACTTAAAAAATTAAGCTGATAGGACCAATCTAACCCAAACCAGCCTTTCCCTTTCTGTGTACCATTTTGCTCCTTTAAACATCAACAAAAAGCCCCAAACTATGTGTTTGTGTGTGGCTGGTGCACAAGTGCAGTGCCCCATGGGGCCAGAAGTACCTCAGATCCTCAAGCAGGAGCTCTGTGAGGCAAGTGCATGTTCTTAAACGGAGACACACTCCAGCCCATTTGTATGTGGGAGTGCTCCACCACTCAACTACACATGTATTATTTAATCTGCTATTATTTAATGAACAACATGCTGTCCTTCGGCCCCTTCTTAGGGAAGGACACACTTCTGCCTGTGGTGGAGTCACTCCCTGCTCCTGCTCCCCCTTCTCCTCCCCTTTCTTACCTTTAAAATAAATTTCTCATTTATCAGTCACCTTTAAAACAACTAAATGGATTCTCACTTAATGTTAAATGTTAAAATTCTGTGGGGAAGAAGCTATCACTCTTAGTCAAAGTGTAAAAAGAATTAACAAATTATTGTTGTATTTATTTATTTAGCAGTGCTGGAGAATGAATCCAGGGCTTTGTAGAACCTGTTAAGCAAGTTTCTTTACCACTCTGCTACTACTCAAACCTCATATTTGTTTCTTACCAACTTTAGTATAACCCAGAGCACTACTTTTTGTTTCTAATCTCTAACAGGAAAAAAGTAAGCAAAAGCAAACCTGATAGCCTATTTCCCCCTCATTACAATGCACAGATAGATCCCTTTTAAAATCACAGGTTGCTCTGTATAGTGGTACATGTCTTTAATCCTGCACTCAGGAGGGAGGGAAAGAAGGGGGGATGGAGAGTGAGAAAGAGAGACACAGAGAAAGAGAGAGGTGAATCTCTGTGAGTTCAAGGCCAACCTGGTGTACCAGTGAGTTCCAAGACAGCCAGGGCTATGTAGGGAGACCCCGTTTCAAAACAAACAAATAATACAGTGAAATCACATGCTGATTTCACTAGCGTGGGACAGATACCCACACTTCATTTCATCTTTATGCTTTGTTTCTAACTTCTTTAGGATCTTCACTTTTTCTCTCTCTAATGAGCCTGCCAATGTTTTAAAACAGTCAAGTCTCCAACACTAAAGAAAATAAAAATTGGGGGGAGCAGTAGAATTGTTTCAGGGGTAAAAGACAACCTGCATTTGATTCCTGGGACCCAAATGGTAGAAAGAGAGAGAACTGATTTGCTAAAGTTGTCCCCTTACCTCCACATGTGCACCATGGCAGACAAGTGTCTGTGCCTCAGTGGTCACACAACGTTGTGCACTCCCCAATAGTAATGAATAACAAACAAGCAAACAGACAAAACAACCCAAGAGCCAGATGCAGGTGCAGTGGTCTGTGACTATGGTACTAGTGCACGGGAACTAGAGGTGGAAACATCATTTGGGTCCTGGATTTTGAGGTTGAGCTAGCAATGTATATAGTCTGAGGCCAAGCATGGTGGTGGAATACTTGCATCCTGGAATTTAGGAGGCAGGTAAATCTCTATGTGTTCAAGGACAGCCTGATCTACACAGTAAGTTCCAGGCCAGCCAAACCTACATAGTAAAATTGCCTCATAAGACAAAATATAACAAAAACATAAAAAACGCCAACCTTGGGATCCATACCTACAACCCTAAATCCCCTACAGGGAGGAGCCATTACCCTTATATTCAATAATATCTCCTATTTTGGCAAACTATTATATATATATATACACAAGCTTCTCTTAATGTTTATTTCTATTATGTATGTGTGTGTGTAAGAATCACATGACTTGGGTTCCAGATCCTCTGAAAGAACAGCCAGTGCTCCTAACTGAAGCATCTCTCTAGCACTCAGCAAATCATTTCTAGGAGTGCCTGCTACTGCCTTCTCCATTCCAACCACTCTTAAGCAACTCAAATTCTTTTGCTGCCATTCTGGTCCCCTCCTTCCACTCTACCCTCAGAGTTCTTATCTCTTCTTCCCTAGCTTCCCTGCTGTCTCACTCTTAACACCCCCCCCCCCCACCCCAGTGCCCTCTTCTTTCTCAGCTGTCTTTACTAATGTTTCTTTCTTGAGTTGACCCTTTAAAAGCTGGCATTCATTAAATCTTAATCCTAGGTTCTCTCTTCTGAGTCCTTTTCTTTTTTTGGTTTTTCGAGACAGGGTTTCTCTGTAGCTTTGGAGACCTGGAACTAGCTCTTGTAGACCAGGCTGGCCTCGAACTCACAGAGATCCACCTGCCTCTGCCTCCCGAGTGCTGGGATTAAAGCCATGGGCCACCACTTTTCTTATAACCCCCTTCCAAAATTACAGTAGTTTCTTGTAAATCCTGAAGTTCTATTTGTATGTCCAAAGCATTTACTCAGTATTTCCACTTTGAATGTCACCTCAGAAGTATCTTAAACCCTTAACATTGTATTGTATCTCTATCTATCTATCTATCTATCTATCTATCTATCTATCTATCTATCTCTTTTGTTTGTTTTTTTGTTTGTTTGTTTTGTAACTCTGGCTGTCCTGGAACTTGCTGTGTAGATCAGGTTGGCCTTGAACTTACAGAGGTTCACCTATTTCAGCTTCCTAAATGTTAGGATTGAAGGTGTGAGCCACCATGCCTCACTATCACCATCTATAGAGGACCCAGAAATCACTTATTTTTCAAATCCAATGAAGATATTTGGCTGATCTATCTCCTGACCCACTCTGGAATCTTTCCACATTGTATAGTCATTACTACCCCTTGTCCAAATCACTATAACCTCCTTCCTTTATCTCTTAGAGTGTCTCCTAACTAAATTCTACATCCACTCTCAAAGTTTAAAGTAAATTAATGTCACACAAGAGACATGAGAGCGCATGACACTAGTACAGTATTAAGCTACAGAATAAACTTAATAGGAAATCTTCGAAGCAGAATAAAAGGCAGAATGTACATATTTTCTGAGCTCCTATGACATAGATAGGCCTACTTGGTCTATATATAGGCACATCCTCTTCAGCCACACAAAACTGGGGATACCTAGCTAGCCAGTAAAGGCTTCCTGGCTGGGAACAAGGCTTTAACAGAACAGAGAACATCAGAAGCAATGTAGCTCTATGGTACAGTGCTTACCTAGCACATATGTGGTGAGGGGTGGGAGGGGAGGGAAGAGTGAGAGAAAGCTCTCAGTCACCAAAGACAGTCAGAGACCTTGTTTTCCCAAAGGACTATTTCATTCCAACTCACTCTTGGGCCAAAAGAAGAAGAAAAGAAATACCAGGATCATTAAAAAAACACAGTTCATCCAGGTGGTGGTGGCACATGCCTTTAATCTCAACACTCAGGAGGCAGAGGCAGGTGGCTCTCTGAGTTTAAGGACAGCCTGGTCTACAGAGCAAGTTCCAGGACAGCCAGAGCCACACAGAGAAACCCTGTGTCAAAAAACAAAAACAAAAAACAAAAGTCAGAAAATAATCTTTCTTCTAAGCTTCCACTTCACAATTCTCTTTTGCTGAGATCACCTTCAGGGCCTTTGCACGCATGCTGCTAGTTACTTCTGCTTAGTTATTCTTTTTGTGGTGAACTGATTCAACTCAGATTTCAGATGCCTTCCTTCCTTCCTTCCTTCCTTCCTTCCTTCCTTCCTTCCTTTTCTCCTTTTTTGTAGTGCTCTGGAGGCTGAATATAAGGTCTTGTGTATGTTGGGCAAGTGCTCTACCACTGTCAGCTTTTGGCTTTCCGTTTGTGACCTTTTCAGGGGAGTCTTTCCAGATAAAATCCTCATAAGAGCTCTGAGAACTTTTGGTATGTGTCCTTGACAGAAGTATCTTAGCAGCAAATGTCAGGAACCCTGGCTGTTGTTTCTATGGCTACACTTGTCAAGGTTAGCTTAGCTTTGTTAATGAATCAATGGATCCAAGGTCTGAAGAGGACAAGTAAAACAAGATGACAGAGCAGCCATTGGGATCTGACATCTTTTTGCTTTAGATTCTTGAGGAATGTGAATGACTCTTATCTTAGATCTTACACACTCCTAACTATGAAGCAATAAGATGAAGTGTACTTTTTAAAAATATGACAGTCATAGAAGAGCTGTGGCTTTGGGGTACTCTTTCATTAGCAAACAAATCATTTTACACTATCCCATGTCACCCATTGATAAAAAAGCATGGATGGAAACATGAAGATGTGATTTATGGTGTCAATAAGCTACCTTCATTTAGAAAATAAGCAGACATTCACATGGGAGACAAACTGGTAACAAGACACAAAACAGAAAGAGCTCCATAAGGACAGTGTGGCCACTAACAGGACGGTTGCCGCAGGAGTCCTCAGTCTTAGACTCACATTCAAATCACCTGGGGAGTGCTTGAGCTACTGATGCAGGACAGTGTGCAGCATAGCGGTGGAGTGCCTGCCTACCATTTGTAAAGCACTGGGTCTAATCCTTGAGATTGCAAAAACCAAACAGAAAACAAAACCTGGTGTTCAGATCTCACCTCCTTTAGAGATTCTGATTTAATTGCATTAGTGGTAAATTCTGGACACCCTTCCTTCCTTCCTTCCTTCCTTCCTTCCTTCCTTCCTTCCTTCCTTCCTTCAAAGCAATCCAGATAGGTCTAGGATATAATCATGGCTGAGAATCACTATTTTAAGTAGAAAAGGGGTACCTTTCAGTAAGTTAGTATTCGAATGCTTCTTTAAGGATGGGTAATTTTGGGATAGGCAAGCAGAAGTGAGGAGAGCTTCCCAAATAGTATGAAACAATAAGAATGACAGTAAATGAGAACACATTAAACTCATATAGGATGAGAACTGTGGCAGAGGGGACCTGCGTTTTATCCTCTAGGATAGATGCTAATTGAACATTTGTGCTGTATTATCAGCATGGTAAGAACAGCATTCTGCCATAGGAGTCTAGGTTGATGATAAATACCTGAGCTAGATCATATGTTACCTGTAAAATCAAGAGACAGATCTAAGAGATGACTAAAAGGGATGGATTTCTAAGTGTGTGTGTGTGTGTGTGTGTGTGTGTGTGTGTGTGTGTCTGTGTGCAAAACCATAAACACACTGATAATTTTAACAAAAGTCAACATTGTCATAAAGATAATTTGTGTATGTCTCAGGGTGGGGAATCTACTTATGTAACCCAGGCTGGACTTGAACTTGCAATCCTTCTGCTCAGCCTCTTCAGTAGCTTTCATCACAAACAAGCACCAACACATTCCAGTTTAGGACAAATCTTAATTCTAACTTCTAATATCTTTTAATGCTTAAAATAAAATCCTTCATTCATAGTCACCCTGGTTTTAGCTCCAGGTATTTTGCTTCCTCTAAGTAAGGAATAACCTAGCTAGGTATGATTGCACATGCCTGTAATTCCAGTGTTCCAAAGACTGAGGCAGAAAGATATCAAATTCAAGGCTAGTGTGAGTTACCCAGTGAAATCCTCTCTCCAAGAAAGTAGAAAAGTAAACACTTGAATGCAATAATCTGAGATAAAAAAAAGTTGAGACTACATTTAAAATAAAAGTTGATCAAGGTAACATTTCAATTGCTAATTCATCCCATTCTAATGCAGTATTTAATAATAATTACCTTCACAACTTGATGGCTAAGGAATATTATGGTTAATCTTATTCTGTAGCAGGTCAAAACACATCTCTAAATCAAGCTCCTTTGATAGGGAGTAAAAAAAAAATATCTGTTTCTATATCCTACCTTGTGTTTTGTCATGGTGCTAAAATGGTTATTCCGAAAGAACACACAGAGCTCTCCTTCCTGAACGGTTGAAGTCAGTTCACATAATCCATGGTACGTCAGTTGAGTGGCTGTATTGTTTAGAAACTGCTCAGCTACAAAGCCTATGGAACCAATGTGTACTATGAGAAGGAGGAATTTCAAAGTCAGAAAGTTACTTTTCCTATTTACATTTGTTCCAACTGTATACAAAGGCCAATTTTCCTGTTACATAATGGCCCCCAGATTGGAGATGCCTCTTTCTAATTTTCTTATGGGAGCAGTGTCCCTGATCATTCCTGTCCTGAAGAAACAGTGATGTGAAAATTCTTTCATCCACAAGTATAGTCTCTTAGGAAAACTCTTTCACTCTTTCAGGTGGTTTACAAGAGACACAGACACAATAAAACAACAGGGAAGTTACTCTACAACATTTTATAAGAGAGGTAAGCCAGGCATGGTGGTGTAAGCGTTCAATCTCTGTGAGTTCAAGGCCAGCCTGGTCTAAAGAGTGAGTTCCAGACCATCCAGGGCTATACAGTGAGATCCTGTTTCAAAAAGCCAGAGAGAGACAGAGAGACAGAGAGACACACATTCATGCAGAGAGTGACAGAGCACAGCAAGAGGTGCAGACAAGAGGGGAAGTTGAGTTTGTTTTAAAAGATACATCAATAAGAAGCTGAAAATAACTGGGTGGGAATCTTGGCAAGCCCGGTATAGCTGGTCAAGGCAGGTTAGGGCACTCCTTTTCCATTACTTTTTGTCAAGCACTTGGCAGGACAAAGGAGTTATAGAAAGTTACAATGCAGCCCAAAAACAAGGACCTGCATTAGGGAGAGGAGAGTTTGAGGGTTACAGCACACTTGTGTTTATACATTGGGAAATAAGAGTTCCCCTTCATGTTATTGTTGTCACCTTGTTCAGCAGAACATATTCAAGCTTTTACTATTATGTACCACATTGAAGAATGCACTATTTGCTCAAAAGTACTCCTGGTTGCAGTATCCATGCTCATAAATGTTTCCTTGATAAAATACAAAAATTCACTGGAGACAGAGCAGACTACCATTATGTTGGTATGAAATTAAAAAATGAACACTAGACACATTTTTTATAGAATACGAAATAGGCTCACAAATAGATAATTTGCCCAAACTAGCTATGACAAAGTGAAGACTGGGACCATGGGAATTAATATTGGTATTAAATGTTACCAATTTAGTGCAGAGATGATTGTGAATTCCACCTGAATTACATATTGCCCCGAACCATAAGGTATAAACTTATTAAGAATTTAAAAATACAATATTTCCTAATTCTTTTGTTGTCTCTTAAATGGTAAGTTTAATCCAATATAGGTTCAATTTTGAATAGCTAATTTTTAAACAGAAGAATAACAGCTAATAAGTAACAAAAACAATAACCACCATAATCATAATTGATTCAGTTAAAAACCAATGGTTCCAAGTATATTGGGTATACAATTCTTAGAAAAAAAAAAGGCTATTCACACAGTTTCAAAGTCTAGTGACAGATTATTAATTACACATTATTACTTATTAATTACAAAGCAAAAGAATAATTTTACAATAAAGATATATGACCTATTTTGCCTCACTCAAGTTTAAATGTAACTAATAATGAATAATTTGACTCCTGCACCCAATTTGATGCAATTAAAAAGACTACTATAGAGGACATCATCTGGGTGGCATTCCAACCAAAATTATATCGCCTGTATCTATTCATAAGAGAACAATCTGATAAATCAAAATTGGGGCTAGTCTATAAAATACTGGCCTTCACTATTTAAAAAATGTTAGTAGGGAAGAGTGGGAGTAGATGAGGGCTGAGTAGAGAGAGGTGGTAGGGAGGGGGAAGAGAACAATGCCACAAACGCATGAAAGTATAAAAGGGGGCTGGAGATATGGCCCAGTGGTTAAGAGTACATACTGATCTTGCAGAGGACCCAAGTTTGGTTTCTAGCACCTACCTAGGATTGCTCACAACTGCCTATAACTCCAGGGGATCTAAAGCTCCATTCTGCTCAGTGGTCACCCCCTACACACACACACACACACACACACACACACACACAAAATGAGTTTTAAAAAGTTTAAAAGAATAGCTTCTTGGCTAGTGGTAGAACTTTGTGTCAATGCCCTTCCTTTGTAGGGGTGTGGAGGGTGGCAGGTTGGTCTGACTTGAGCTTGTGTCAGTCTCATGCATACTGTCACTGTCACAGTCTCTATGAGTTCATATGTGCATCTGCCCTGTTGTGTCTGGACAATGCTATTTCCTTAAAATCATCCACCACCTCTCCTCTTCCACTCTTCCATTCCCATACAAATGCCTGAACTTTGACAGGGAGAGAATATGGTAAGACATCTCTTTCAGGGCTGAATACTCTAAAGTCTCTCTCTCTCTCTGCTTGTTGTCCAGCTGCGGGTCTTTGTGTTAATTACTATTTGCTATAAGAAGCTTCTCTGATGTGGGTTAAGCAAGACATTGATCTATGGGTACAGCAATGTGTCATTGGGAATTGTTTTATTGCTGTGTTCATTTAGCAGAATAGTAGGATTTCCCTGGGCCCATGACCTATATAATGTCAGGTTCTTGGCCTCATTGACAGTCTAAGGTATGGGTTTCATCTCATGGAGTGGACCTAACATCACACCAAAAAATAGTTGGTTATTCCTACAGTAGTCATGCCACTAATTGTACCAGTGGCACATCTTGCAGGCAGGTTGTTATTACAACTCACAGGGTTTGTAACCGGGTGAGACTGATGACTACTTTACTTCTCCAGTAGTGTACGTAGCACCTCCTACCGCTATGAATGCTAGCCAGCAGAGGTGAAGCTTGCAGTTGAGTACCAGCTAGATTCTCTAGAGAGAGGGAAAAATCAGTTTACTTCAATGGAGTGACATTGGGTATATCCCCACACTCCAGGGCAGACTCCATACTCAGGAGTGGTTGACCAACACTTTAAAATTAAGATTTATTTATTTATTTTATGTATATAAGTATTCTATGTGAATGTATGACTTTATGCCTGAAGAGGGAATAAGATTTTACTATTGATGGTTATGAGCCATCATGCGGTTATGTAGTCGCTTGGAATTGAACTCAGGACCTCTGGAAGAGCAAACAATGCTCTAAACCACTGAGCTATCTCTACAGCCCCTGGCTTTTCTTTTTTAAAGAGAAAGAACATATAGTGGGGTGGATAGGGAGAGGAAAGGATCTGGAAGAAGTTGGGGATCAGGGAAGAATACGATAAAAAATGTATGAAATTCTCAAAGAATGAAACAAAGGTTTAAAATGAGGCATAAAAGAAAGGAAAAGAAAAACAGGGATCTATTCTAAATCCAGAGATTGAAGCTGTTGCAACTGCTAACTGATCCTTGGCTGGAGTGTACATGGAAAGAGATGGAAAGTTAGAGGTAATGGTTAAAAAAAACAGGAAATGGAACACACAAATAACGTCCTATGTAACACAGCAGTAACATTGCCTTGCCCAAGGTCATTGGATCATAATAGAGAAGTCACACAGAATTCTTTCTTTTTTTTTTTTTTTTTTTTTTTTTTTTTTTTTTTTTTTTGGTTTTTCGAGACAGGGTTTCTCTGTGGTTTTGGAGCCTGTCCTGGAACTAGCTCTTGTAGACCAGGCTGGTCTCGAACTCACAAAGATCCGCCTGCCTCTGCCTCCCAAGTGCTGGGATTAAAGGCGTGCGCCACCACCGCCCGGCCAGAATTCTTTCTTTTAATGATGATACACTTCAGTGATGTGACACTCACAACTAACTCTAATATTATTTAGTAGGAAAAAATGCGTTGTGTAGGACTACAGAAAAAGGGCAAGTATCCAATGCTTGAATAACTGGTGAATTAAGAGCTTGTGAATGTTCACCAAGAGAGTCTTTAGGGTTTTGAGAATTCTCAAAATAAAAGTTGGGCAAAAATTATGGTTTTACTTCATAAATTAATAATGATTGCCACTACTTAATAAAGGCAGTATGAAAGCAATTGGAAAAAAGTTTGGGCAAATGAATAAATATCCTGGAGTCAGTTTACTAAGTATGTGTTTATCCTAGGAATAGTTGTTAAGATGTTACTTTAAAAGGGTGTGAAACTAAATGACTGTCTTTGGGTGAGTATGGCAGCTGGTACTGTGGGGGTTTTCTAATTGATTCTTATTTTTGTGTTACAAGCAATCATTATAACAACCAGATTCAAGAAGATATGGCCAGTCAAAAGAGAAAACAGACAATGAACACTCTGTTTACTGTACCAATGCTGTGCTGTGCTCACAAAGTGTCAGCACCAAGAGAAAGGCTGCTTCTGCCCACACCAGCTATGTAACATTCTTCCCCATCAAGAAGAATGCTAGCAAAAGTATTTTTTATATTCTAAGACTTATATTCTAAGACTTATGCCATATGAAATGATTGGATTTAAAAAAGTAGTTGTCATTTAAGATTAAAGCTTCTAAGACTAGAGATAAACAAGTTTGGATACTTTATTGGTTCAAAAGGAAGATACAGTCAAAGGCTACATACAAAAAAGAACTAGACTACTTCTTGAACATGAATCAAGTTGGTGTGACCATGAACCATGTGAGAAGAAGTTGTTGGAATGTGAGTCAAAACCAGATGGCTCTTCCTTGTTTGTGTGAACTTTGGGGCCTTATACAAGTCATGACTGGTATTATTTTAAACACACTACATATTGCTATTTCTTGCCACCAGAAAACTAGTCTAGCTTTCTAACTGTGATAAACTTCACACATGATTACTTCTTAGTATAAAAACCATATGGAGTATCACTGCTATCAAATTGGACTATCTAGGACTTTATAATAAACACGCATGGTATATGTACCTGAACATTCCATGCACTGCAGAGCAGCTGATTCTGTCTTGTTTTTGCCAAGATATTCTTTCCAATTATCCATTCTATGTTCCTATACCTACCCATTACCCTGGGTAGTCAGTGTCAGAGAGGCAATGACTTACATTGTCATGTTAGGGAAAAAAGAGAAGTGATGGAGGAACTGACTTTCCCAAATTAATTATATTTAATTAGTGTGTTACCAACTCCTACCCTTGTAGAATTGCAGCCTGGCATGGGAAGGATATTGTCAGGTTGTTTCCAGTGGCTTCTCACCCATAAACTGCCCACCCAAACTCTCTTTCATGATATCATTCTGCTTCTTACCACTTTTTGAATCTCACTGTTCTTTTAATTATCACAGAACAGTAGAATTATATATTTTTTATTTATGGTTTTTCAAGACAGGATTTGTAGCTTTAGAGCCTGTCCTGTAACTAGCTCTTGTAGTCCAGGCTGGCCTCAGACTCACAGAGATCTGCCTGCCCCTGTCTCCCAAATGCTGGCAAGAATTATATTTTTAAATTATTGTTATTATTATTGTGTGTGTGTTGTGCATGCACGTTGCTAGATGCATGTGGAAGTTAGAGGCCAACTTTCAGGAATTGGTTCTTTCCTTCTGCCATGGGTTCTGGGGATCAAACTCAGATTATAAGGTTTGTTGTGGGAAGTGCCTTTACTTCCGAGCAATATCACCAACCCTAGAATGATGGAGGAAGGTCATTGGTTAATTAATAAAGAAACTGCTTGGCCCTGATAGGTTAGAACTTAGGTGGGTGGAGTAAACAGAACAGAATGCTGGGAGGAAGAGGAAGTGAGGTAAGATGCCTCAGAAAGACGCCATGCCTCTCGCCTCCGGGGCAGATGCAATGAAGCAAGCCACCAAGTCAGACATGCTGAATCTTTCCCTGTAAGACTGGTGCTACACAGATTATTAGAGATGGGTTGATCGGGATATGAGAATTAGCCAGTAAGGGCTAGAACTAATGAGCCAAGCAGTGTTTAAAAGAATACTGTTTGTGTGTTGTTATTTTGGGGCATAAGCTAGCCAGGCGGCCAGGAGTCAGGTGGCAGGAACGCAGCCCGCAGCTTCCCCAACACTAGAATAGTATAATTCTAATAGTATATTGGGTATTGTTGATAAAGTAGATTTCATAGATAGAAATTTTTTAAAGGCTTCCTTTCAGGTATACATCTGACATCGGGAATATAGAAAGGAGTACATTTAGTGAGTAGAATTCTGCATATGGAGAGAAAAAAGATTTTCTTGTTTGTTTTGAGATGATCTCACAATGTAGCCCATATTGGCTTGGGACTCACTAAGTAGCTACACTGCTCAGCTGGATTCAAACTCAAGGCAGTCTTCCTATCTCAGATTCTAAAGCACTGGGATTAGAGGAGGCATGAGACACTATAACTGGTAGAAAACATTTTTATGATGGCTTTATTGCTTGTTTCCTTCCTAAAATTTAAACATTTTGCCTTAAGTTATAATAAAACAGATATCACTCAAATCAATTATCAATGCTCCTATATGTTCCTGTTATTTTTTCAAGTAAAAGACAGGTATAAACTTTTATTACTTGCATTTTGCATAAATACATTAAACTCCTGGATAATTAACACAATTAGTAGGACTCTTAGTTAATATGAGATTCATGCATATATCTTTTTATATGACTGCATATAGTTTTTGATGTGGGATTTCCCTCTGTATGTTGTGATTACCATTGGTTAATAAAGGAACTGCTTTGGACCTATAGTAGAGCTATAGGGGAACAGAACGAGGTGGGGAAAACTAAACTAAATCCTGGGGAAAAGAAGGGCAGAGTTAGAGAGAAGCCATGGATCTGAAGCCAGAGACAGAGGCACTGAAACTTTGCTGGTAGGCCACGACCTTTTGGTGATTAATGGAGACGGTTAAATTAAGATATAAGAGTTAGACAATAAGAAGTGAGAGCTAATGGGCCAAGCAGTGATTTAAATAACATAGTTTCTGTGTGATTATTTGGGGGTTAAGCAGCTGGGAACTAACTAGCAGCCTCCTCCAACAAGTTTTTTTTTTTTTGCTTGTTCTTTGGTATGTGTGATGTTCCTGTGGATGACCAGAGGTTGGTTTAGAGTGTCTTTCTCAGTTGCTATCCACTTGTGTCTGAGACAAGGTCCTCAGCAATTTAGCTAGACTGGCTCCTAGGATGTTCCTGTCTTCAAAGTACTTAGTTTTTATGTGGGATGTGGGAAATCCAACATAGGTTTTATGCTGTGGGATGTCTTTCTGTATGCTGTGGTTATGTGTTGCTCTCATTGGTTGATAAATAAAGCTGATTTGGCATATGGCAAGACAGGATAGAGCCAGGCAGGAAATCCAAGCAGAGATAGAGGAGAAGACAGAATCTGGGAGATGCCAGTCAGTCATGGAGGAAGCAAGACATGTAGAAAATTAGGTAACAAGCTATGAACCACATGGCAAAGCATAGAAAAGAAATAATGGGTTAATTTACACATAAGAGCTAGCTAGTAATAAGCCTGAGTCATTGGCCAAACATAATTAGTAAGTCTGTGAGAGGTTATATTTGAATGGTGGGCAGGAGAGAAATGCCTATTTACAGTTTTACACAAGAGGAATTTTACCAACTGAGTCATTTCCCTAGCCTAGTCCATTCTTTTGTTTGTTTGCTTTTGAGACAAGGTTTCTCTGTCTAGACCTGGATGTACTGGAACTTGCACTGTAGACCAGGCTGGCCTCAAACTCACGGAGATTCTTCTGCCTCTGCTTCCTGAGTGTTGGTATTAAAGCCATGTGCTATCTTGCCCAGCCCCTAGCCTATTATATATCCTTATACTTACTAGCTTTAATTTATAAAAATGCGTTAACTATAATCTTTATTGTGCTGCATTTTGAAGAACTGTGTCTGAATGAGAGTGGGAAACTGATCCCCTGCCCCTGCTTATTTTGATTTTCCCTTCCTTTCTTTTCCATGCTAAGGAAGGAGAACTTCAGCTTCAGTATGTCCTTGTATGAAACAATGGAGTGAATGGTGGTGAAGGTTTATTGAAATGGCTTTCAACCTGAGAGCATTCTGGTTTCAAATCTTTTTACTCATTATTAATTGGAGCACATCTAAAAGATATATTTTTTTAAAGAAGGGTATATGTAGATTTATTGAGGAAAAGTGAGTGGGAGGGGCTTCAAAGGAGGAAAACCCTGAAAAAATATTGACCTGTCTCCATAACAGTGAATTTAGTAATTTCAGTCAGTTACTCATGTTCCAGAATGAGGCTTTCATACTGAACTGCATTGAGACACTGTGGGAAATACATATAAGCTCTTTAGATGAGGGTTTAGGGACAGTAACACAATCCACTCGGTAAGCACAAGTAGTAATCGTTGGACATCTGATCTCACCAAAACCGCAAGTGATCCAAAGTCTGGTCTTAGCAACCTGTCCTGATTTTACAGTCAGCTGAAGATGGCTTGAGAAGGATCCTTTCCTGCATGTCTACAAATGCTTCTTTTAATTCCTACAAGAGCCACCACTTATATTTTTAGAATTTCTATCTAATAAATTTACAATAATGAAAATGTTATAAAGAAACAATTATTTTGTTTACTTATAGAAGATAAATGTAAACTCAATGTATTTCAAGACAAATTATTTTACCAGGCATCATCCGCACTCACCCACCTTCACTAACCAACTGGCTGTTGTCTGACTGCTTACAGGAGATGATCTTCTCCACCAGTTGGTTGTAGCTGCAGTTGCCAACAGCTTTTACAATGTCATCAGTCTGGAAAACAAATGACTGTCTTACTAGCCCTGGCAAGATTAGAAACAATAATGAAAACAATCCCATTACTCTGTAAGCCTGTGTTCTAATACAACACTGAATAGAAATGCTTAGGAGAACTTCAGTTCAGAAGGCAGAACCCAGCAGTTTCTGTTTACAACTCAGTCTAACACATTATGAAAACTCCAGCATAGTTATATTTGAACTGTGCAAAAATGATAGTTATTACATGCAACTGTAAAGACTATAAAGATGCATTTAAGGAACTATAATAAATGAAGTATTCAGGAGGAAAAATGAGAAAATTCGGGGGATAGATGATTCAGCAGTTAAGAAGCACTGGCTCCTTTTCCAGCACTCTTTTAGGTGCTCACAACTCTCCAGTTCCAGAAGCTAACACCCTCTCCTGGTCTCCACAGGCACTGCATACATGTGATACACAGATGTATAGGCAGACAAAAATATTCATACACATAAAACAGAAACAAAAAGAAAAACTCAGTGTTCAGATAAAACAGATGTTTTCAAACAGTGTGGTGGCACATGCCTGTGACCTTGATGCTGAGCCTGTCCTCCACCTGTGACACTTTCACACTTATTTTGTTTTTGAGATCTCAGGCTGTCCACAAACTCAGAATGCCCATGCCATCTGTCCATCACTTTTATCAATTTTGAGTCATTTCTTGTTCCTTACAGTATTTCTATGTTATTATATTTTATGTATATATCTTATCAACAGCAAAACACAAATGTGTTTTAATCCAGCCCAAGTTACTGTCTTTTTAAGTATTTGCTATGACCAGCCTCAGTAACAAAGCAAGACTTGCCACATAATTAAAAACAGAAATTATTAATTATTTTCATTTTTAACAATTAACTCTAGGTCCTTGGAAACTTTAATTTCATTAATTCTTCTAACTTCTGTTATTAGTTCAGCAAAACTTAAAAATTTTAAGTACCCAAAAGATCATGCTATTTGTTAACCATCAGTCACATAGATTTATCTATATTATATGCAATATATCTAGTTTTTCTTTACATGTGGGATGTATTTACTTCTTGTCCAAATACTTATATTTATACTAATAAAGGCCTAGCAATAGCAAATCACTAAAATGTAATTTGAAAAAAAAACTTTGCTTCATTCTTGAAAAATTACTTCACATGGAAAGAATTGAGTTAGCTTTTGTCTTTTAGTTCACTGATGCCATCCCATTATTATCTAGCCTTCACCTTTGTTCCCAAGTGGCTAGATAGAGGGTATAGTGGCCTGCATCTGTAACTTTAGTGCTTGGGCAGTGGAGGCTGGTGGATCAGGAGTTCAAGTTGATTCCTCTGTTACATAGTGAGTTTGAGGCCAGAATAGGATGCTTGAGACCCTAGCTCAAAAGAAAACAAACAGACAAACAAACAAATGATTAGTTACCAATTAATGACTGAATTCTAGTGTCCATTATCCAGATGACTATAGATATTTATGTTCAAGATAGTTTTCTCTTGAGACAAAGTCTCTCTATGAAGTCCTAGCTGTCCTGGTACTTGCTCTATAAAACCATTATAGTCTCAGATTCAGAGAGAGCTGTCTGCCTCTGCCTCCCAAATACAAAAGGTATTACTGTATCCAAGCAAGGTACCTATTTATAAACTACAGAATTAAAATTCAAAGAAGCATCTAGGTCTGAAAGTTTGTTTTGTTTTTTGTTTGTTTGTTTGTTTGTTTAAAATCACTCTGTAGACCAGGCTGGCCTTAAACTCACAGAGATCCACCTGCCTCTATCTTCCAAGTACTAGGATTAAAGGCGTGGATTCAGACCATCGCCCAGTCTGAAAGGTTTTTTTTTTTTTAAGCTTTTGTATTTTCTTGTTCTCTTTTGATAACCTTGATTTGTTAGAAAGCGAGGGAGGGAAACAGATCTAAAGCACTGAGGCTTCTCTTGGGAACCTCTGCCTAGACCAGAAGCACCCGATGAGCCATCTCTGTACTACACTGAAGTTCATTTTTTTTTCTGTAAGGATATTATTCAACCATATCAAACAACTTACAGCTATACACACAAATAGGTGATCTGAGTTTAGTTTTTAAGAACTCAGTCTAATGTTCCTCGGGCTGTCGTGTGACTTACAAGAAGTGAAAGTACCTGGTATTGCTAACTGCCAAGTTACACCCAGGACGTGTAAAGTGCGTGACAAGTTGACTTTTAGTGATATTCTCAGTGACAGTGTGCCAATCAAAACACAGATGTCCTGGTTAAAGTGAACTACCCTTTTATTGCCCAGAATACCAGTTGCTTTCAGGAACAGACAGGGATGGAGGATATAGGCAACCCCCTGCCATGATGTTCTCTTTCTCTATAGCTAATGCAGGCACAATGCACTCCATCAGTTAGTATTTATTAAGCACTGATGTGGGAGTGATTTCTTATTAATAAAGAAACTGCCTAGACCCATTTTATAGGCCAACCCTTAGGTAGGTGGAGTAAACAGAACAGAAAGTTGGGAGAAAGAGGCTGAGTCAAGGAGTCGCCATGATTCTCCCACTCCAGACAGACGCAGGTTAAGATCATTCCTGGTAAGCCAGCTCGTGGGCTACACAGATTAATAGAAATGGGTTAGATCGATATGTAAGAGCTAGCCAATAAGAAACTGAAATTAATGGGTCAGGCAGTGTTTAAAAGAATACAGTTTCCGTGTAATTATTTCTGGTAAAGCTAGCCGTGCGGGCGGCCGGGTGCCGGGGACGCAGCCCAGCCCGCTGCTCCTATTTCAACAAAGCACCTACTATTGACATAAACTATTCTAAACACTGAGACATAAGATCCCATAAAATAAGCATTTCTTGGGAAATGGCAGTCAGTCAGGTAAATGAATAGATAATAATTATAGTTTAATGACAAATGATAAAAAAACATAGTAAAAGGAGAGAAAATGGCTGAGAAGAGGTAGAGTAATAATTTTAGGGAGGGTCTCTCTTACAAGATAATATTTGACAAGAACTTTTAAAATACAAAGAACCAAGACTGTGAAGACCTGGGAGAACAAGGTGCTGGAAGACTGTCAGTCCACAGGTAATAACCCAGTCAGTACAAAACAGAGCTGGGCTAAGAGTGCAGACTTGCCTGGCACACACAGGGCTCTGGGTTCCATGCCAGGACCTGTAGCAACATCAGCAGCTCTGAGAGGAATGAGCTGACCTGCTTAGCTAACAGAAAAACACCAAGTGTCACTGGAGTAGAGTGAGAATGTCAGAGAAAGGCAGGAAGTGGTGTTAGGCAGAGTCTAGAGCATAAAAACCTGGATTAAACTGAGGAAGAATTGCTGTGGATTCAAGGCCAGCCTGGACTACGTAGTGAGTCCCAGGTCAAACCAGGCTATCATACTCTGTCATAAAGACTAAACAAAACAAACAAACCAAAAATTCAACAAATACCCATCATGATTTCACCTTATTGCAACTATACTAGAGATTAAAGAAAATAAAAAAAGGTTACTTTGCCAGTGAGTATCAAGTAGTTCAGTAGGTCTTGAATGATCTTTGCAGCAAATAACAGGGTGATGGGATACTGACAGGTAAAAGAATAAGGTTGGGGGCTGGAGAGATGGCTCAGTGGTTAAGAGCATTGTCTTGACTTCCAAAGGTCCTGAGTTCAATTCCCAGGAACCACATGGTAGCTCACAACCATCTGTAATGAGGTCTGGTGCCCTCTTCAGGCATGCACACAGACAGAATATTGTACGCATAATAAATAAATAAACAAATAAAAAAAAGAATAAGGTTGGGCCCCTTCCAGATACAGAAAAACTAATTCAAAATGGATCACATTCCTAAATGTAAACACTAAAACATATGAGTTCACATTTGTGACTTTTGGTTAGGTGACCACACAGAACACAAAATTAAAAATAGATAAATTGAGTCTCATCAAAATTATATATCCTATCACTCAGGAGGTAAATGTAAGGTAGAGCTCTGTGAGAACAAGAGTCTACATGCATATGCACATAAATAAAGAAGTAACGAAGATCACATATTTTATGTTTTCATTGACATGAAGTGTCCAGGATAGCCGAATCTTTACAGACAAAGCAGGCTGGGAAGGTTACAAAGACTAGAGGCTGATGGCTAATAAGTAAAGAGTTTCTTTTCTTTCTTTTTAAGATTTTATTTATTTAGTTTTTTGAAGACAGGGTTTCTCTATGTAGCTTTTGCTATCCTAGAACCAGCTTCGTAGACCAGGCTGGCCTCAAACTCAGAGATCCTCCTGCCTCTGCCTCTTAAGTGCTACGATTAAAGTTGGGTGCCTCCACCACCCCTCTGAGTTTCTTTTCAAGATAATAAAACTATTCAACAACTGATTGAGGTGATAGTTACACATGAAATGTGCCAGAGCAAGGGAATATTCGTATTCGACAACTCAAGTTTACAAAACTAACTCAAAATGTGTAATAGACTTAAGTACAAAAATAAAACCATAGTACATTTAGCAAAGAAAAGCACAGCAGAAAACAATGAATATTTAGAGATAGAATGAGTTGTTTGACTTAACAGAAAAAAAATCAATAAACTAGGTTTCACCAAATCAAAAACTGGAGTGACAGCTCAGTGGTTAAGAATACATACTGTTCTTCCAGAGGACCTGAGTTTGATTCCTAGCACCTATGTCATGTGACTAAAACCACCAATAATTAAAGCTCCAGGGAGCCCATACCTTCTTCTGTCCTCTCTAAGTACCTGCACAAATGTGGTACATGTATGTACACTCATACACAGACACATAAATATTAAAATTAAAAAAACTTGAAGCCAGATGTGGTAACAAACACTTGCAACCTGGCACTCAGGAGGCAAAGGCAAGAAAATTGCAATTTCTATGCCAGCTCTGGTTATATGTAGAGACCATATTTCAAAAGACCAAAAACTCCAGTATAATTGGAAAATTGGAGGGGAAAAAAAGGGAGGGATAAAAAAAAGAGAGATTTTATTGAAAAAAGAAATACTAACA